CATTGATGGTGTGAACCTTATGTCCTAGCAAGTGTTTCATCTCATCTCTTCCAAGTTCAATTCATGGTCAAATCTTTTTCACAACAAATTGTTCAACTTCATTAGACTTTTGAATGACTTTTATTCTAACTATTAGGGGGTGTTTGGTTCACATAATGGAATTTGATGAGATTGGAATCCATAAAAAATATTTGACTTTAAAGAAATTAGAATGGAATTTGACCACGCGTTTGGTTGGTAGGAATTGAAATAGAATCTCTCAATGAAATTGGAATAATCGCCTTTTTTGAACTATTCTACCCATCGTCCCACCCACACCCTACCACCACCATGTCACTACTGTTGTTGTCATAGCTATCACCCACGCCCCATCCCTACCCCAACCCTTACCCCCACCACTCATGTCCCACCACTGCTCCATAGGTGGGGGCAGGCAGGGTGGACGAGGTGGTGGGAGTAGGGCCAGAGTGCTGCAGTAGGTGGCACGATGGTAGCTTTAATGACTACAGTGGTAGGGTGATGGTTAGTGGTAGGTTCTAGTATGGTAAGGTGGGTGGGGGTGGGAGTGAGGCAAGACGATGGGGTGGGTAGGGGTAGGTGGTGGGGTGGTAGCTGTGACGATGATAGTGGTGGGATAGTGATCGGGTGGCTGGGGCCTGGCAGTGGGTGTGTATGACGACAACAGTAGTGGCATGGTGGGTTCAGGGTGAGTGGCAATTATGACAACAAGAATAATGGTGTGGTGGTGGGGGTTAGGTTAGGGGCGTGACAGTAACAGTAGTAACATGGTCGTAATGGGATGTGCAGTGAGTGATTGGGGGAGGGGGTGTGATGACAACAATGGTTGCGTGATGGTTAGTGGTGGGTAGGTGGGAGTGGCAACGACAATAGTGATATGGGGGGCTATGGGGGAGGGGGGCATGATGAACAATAGTAGCATGGTCGTGTGGTTAGTGATGGAATTCAATTCCCTCCATTATGCCAAAGAATGATGAATTCGTCAATTTGTGGAATTCAATGGAATTTGAAGGATTCCATCTATTTTCAAAAAATGAACCAAACAAAGGAATTGGAATTTGGTCAAAGAAATTCGTCATTCTAATTCCATCAAAATCCTTTAAATTCCGTGAACCAAACGGGCCCTTAGTTTTGAATAGCAATGGAAACTTGTTTGTAGTTTTCGCCTATTAAGGTATATCCGCTAAATATCTGGTGTTTTGTTTTTGTTTTTGTTTTTGTATTTGAATTTTTGTGTTTGTCATAACATAAAATTGTCATATTTATTTATACAAACATGATTTGATATGTGTTTGATTTTTTATTTATGACTCGGCAACAAAATACAATAATAAGAGAAGTTGTTATACACATATGCTTATTTCTTTTATTATGTGATAAAAAAGGCGTGTATTGCGAAATTGTTTGACGTGTATGCTTACTCAAATCAAAATCATTTTTAATACATAACAAAAGTAATTAGGTAATATAGGTTAATTTCGTACATGATCTACTTATGTTTACAAATTAAATCGAGAATACAATACATATGCATATATAATATATATAATTAGGGTGGTGGCTGAGATGCCACCGTATTGTCTCTCTCTCTCTCTCTCTGTTGTAATCTAAAAATATATTAGGTTCGTAAAAGGTTTAACAATATTATTTTAGAATGTGCAGTTGTTGTATATGAGAAAATTTCTAGGTCCATCTTCCATACATGATCGGATGTTTAGAGATGGTCCAAGATATTAGAAAATACAAGAATGATGAATTGAAGAAAAAGAAAAAGTTATATGGATTAGAAATAGAGTGGAAGGAATATGGAGAAATAAAGAAGGGTAGGCGTGTTGCTGGATAGAATGGACATAGTAATAGTATATATTAAAAGTAGGAAGGGTCTTGATCGTTAACCAAATACCTTATGACCAAATATTTTAATTAAAAAAAAAAAAAAAAAAAACTGAATAGTAATAGTAATGGTAATGGTAATGGTAATAGTGCCACTGCCACCTCGTTAGATATGGACATCAATTATATAAAAAGAAATCCCCAATCCCTTTGGAAATTACCACGCAATCCTTCTTCATTGGTGCGTCTCCTACACCGACGGCGCACCATAGCTACCAACCTTCCTTCTCTTTTCTTTTCTTTTCTTTCTCTAAAATCATTTTTATATATTACTTCTTTTACGTTTTCAAGAATCTATTAACTTAAAATCTCTATTTTTAAAAAATCTCTTAGGAATAATTTTGTCAACTCAAAGTATGCTAAATCAACTTTATATAATTAATGCATTCATAACATAATATATAGTAGTTGATGTTTCTTTTTGTTAAAATATCTTATTTATATTTATTTATTTCAAGTTATCTAAAAACAAAAATAAACAAAACACCCATCATTTACGCATGTACGTCTAGAACAACGAGAAATAAACAAAATCCCGTCATTTATGGATATATGTTGTCATCGGCCATGTCTCTAAATTAATCCCAATAACTTAATTAATTAATATTATATATGATATACAATTTTTGAAAATCAATCAATTGAGAGTCTCTTTAATCTTGCAATCTCTACTTATATGATAAACTATAAAAACGAATATATAATGAATCAACTCATCCAATAAAGCAAAGAATTCAATGTGTCATATTTTATAAACAATGTATCATTGAATTGGTAAAACTATTCATCAAATGAATGAAGCCAAACCATCATTAAATATTAAAGTAAGTGTATAAATGTTGACATGTTTTCATTTTTTTTAAGAATTAGATATGCACCCGTACCATACAACATCCTGTAGAATTTTCATTTAAACCAAAAATACAAAACTAATATAATTTCTCATCCCCTATATATATGTGTGTGTGTAAACATAGCATAAGTTACAAATGATGGTTTAACATGATTTTTCGATTTCTAGATCCATTTATAAAAGGCCAAATACATTAGTACGAGTGTCAAATTATATACATATTATAAACTTTTTGTTACTTTTAAAGTTTTACTACAACTTAATGTGAAGAAAATGCCTTACATCCCAAATATGTGCAACCTTTTTACATGAATTAGTTAGGTTGCTTGAATGATTGCCTTACTCAGTGGAGTTGGTGCACAACCTAGATACGCGACTCTAGTCGCATCTCACCTCGTTTATACCTTGCGGATCATCTGGATGAGAATATATGTGTGACTTATCATGTAGGTAAGCTCTAGATTGATCGTATATGTTTTCAGCCCATGCATATGTTTTGGCAACCGATACCTTTACTATCCCTTCTACTTCACAACGTTAACTCCATAGTGGATTTCCTTTGTTGGGTTTACATGAAAAAATCTCGATATTTCTCTTACTTTATTGCTTTACTTATATATTTTGACGATATGATTGATTGTGTTGCATCGTCCATAATATTTCTAATTAGAATCTCGATATAACACTTTAGTTCAATTGATTCTTACATTATTTATGAACTAACATGAACCGGTCATTCATTGAGCTTATTGTTATTTAGTTCTCTTGTTAGTTCTACAACACTTGAATATATTTTAGATTTATATATATATATATAAATATATATATATATATATATATATATATATATATATATAATATACTACTTAATTAGTATGTCGTACATGACCGTCCTAATTTTTTTAGAGGACTTGTTACACCTGTTATCACGTCCTACTGTTATAGTTCAATAACAAGGCACATTAAGGGATTCTTGGGACAACTCCTCTCATGATGGCGATAACTTTTCATTCGTTTTGAAGTGGCTTCAATGTCAATACAAGGAATGCTCTTTCTAACTTTTTTATTTGCCCCCATTCTGAAATGGATCTGCCATTTCACCAAAAGTGCTTCTTTGAGATGTGAGAGAAGAAGCTGAAGAACAAAACATATACCAAACAAACACAAAACACAATCCCAAGATTGCCACTGATGCGAACTTAAAAAAAAAAACCCATATGATCTTTTCGCTTGTCGACCAAATTGAGCTATAGGCAAACCTATCTTTTTTAAACCCATCGACTTAAAAAGTTAAAAGAACAGATGGAAAACTACTTTACATAATCAATTTCAATGAAGAGGAATAAAAACAAACAGATTGTGGGCATGAATGGATRGTGAAGTCAKAAGTGTTAATTGTAAGCGAAATGATGTAGAGATCAAGAAGAATAAACAAATTGTTGAAGTTAGTTACCAATTGAATCCTTAACAAAGTTGCATTGACATAAGCGATGCAAGTGATACCTATGTGTGTTCTTGGCCTGCTTGAATCTTGATTCAATTCCAAAACAAGTTGGATCACCAAATCGAAAAGGATCCCATAAAATAATAACTCTCCGATAAGAGTAGAAAAGGGAAGTAAAAAACCAGAAACAAAATCGGTAACTCAAAGCAAAACCAAAAACAAACTCGGTAACCCGAATCAAAACTAGGGACGAAATGAACAAAAGGATGACTTTGGATTCGGGTTCATGGAGAAGGAAAGGGCAAATGAGAGACATATTTGGAAGGGGCAGATGACGATGAATCAGGAAGGTCGAACTTCGAAGCCTTTTCATGGAGAAGGAAGGGCCGTGAAATTTGGGCCCCAAAGTTGTGGGGGCCCTGTTCTAAATAGCAGATTTAACAGGCTATGGGACGGGCTTGCAATGTCGTAGTGATAAACAATACAATATATTTAATTAATAAGAAAATGTTAAATTAGTATTTGGTTAAAAAGTTTAATTAGATTAGATTAAATAGTACGTAGTTAGTTTGGTAGCCTGCCGTCAAGTCAAGGTTTAAGCAATAATTGGATTGACCCTTGACCAAAAACGAAACACCCATGACCCTGTCGGCGGGTTACTTCCCCTATAAATACCAACCATCTTTCTCCCTCCCTGCAACATCAACATACACACCACACCATGACCTCCCACATCGACACTACTCTCTCGCTCTTCTTCGCACTTGCCACTTCTAACTTCACTTCCATCAATATCTTATTCTTCTTCTCTCTCGTCTTCATCATCAAATGCTTCTTCCACTGCAAATCCACCATCCCTGGCCCTACACCCTTACCCATCATTGGCAGCATGCATCTCATGTCCGGCCTCGCTCACCGGAAAATCGCCGCAGCCGCACAATCTTGCCGGGCTAACCGTCTGATGGCGTTTAGCTTGGGTGAAACGCGTGTGATTGTCACCTGCAGCCCCGACGTGGCTAAGGATATTCTTAACAGCTCCGCCTTTGCCGACCGTCCTGTGAAGGAGTCAGCATACCGCTTGATGTTCAACCGAGCCATCGGGTTTGCGCCTTATGGGGTTTACTGGCGGACGTTAAGAAGAATCGCCGCCACGCATCTCTTCTGTCCCAAGCAAATCAAGGTGTCGGAAGGGCAGAGGATGGTGGTTTCTAATCAGATGGTGGAGATGCTCACGTTTCTTCTTCATCAACAGACTTCCATATGTGTTCGTGATGTGCTGAAGCGAGCCTCTCTCAGCAACATGATGTGGTCTGTGTTTGGAAGGAGGTACCGGCTGGATTCTAACGACTTGGAGTCGGTGGAGCTGAGGAAACTGGTGGATGAAGGGTATGAGCTTTTGGGTATACTCAACTGGACGGACCACCTTCCATGGCTGGCTGATTTCGACCCACAAGGGATTCGATCCAGGTGTTCCAAACTGGTTCCAAAAGTAAACCAGTTTGTGAAAAAGATAATCGATCAACACCGAGCTCATCCATCACCCCAACTCAACGCTGACTTCACTGACGTCTTGCTATCGCTTGAAGGTTCCGACAAGCTATTAGAAGCGGACATGATCGCGGTTCTTTGGGTAATCGCCTTTTGCTTAGTAAAGAAGAAAACCAAAAATGATATTACATGAAAAAAGATATGGAATCATATTCTCTTTGGTGTATATATCCCACAGACAAAAATACAAAGAAAGCCTTTTTAAAAACAATTAGGCTCTGGTTGTGATGGCAGTCTTTGACTTGTTCCGTTGTTTTCCTAGGCTATATTTAGAAAGTCGAAATACTATTTCAACACTCCATAAAAGGCCTAGTTTCCGGTTGAATAATAAATAAAAGAATATACTGTACGTTTATGTGATTTTGCTTCTCCTTCTGGTTAAAGGTTATAAAACGATATATGGTCATCTGATGGATATATTAATTTTGAATGATTGATCGACAGGAAATGATATTCAGAGGAACAGACACGGTAGCAGTGCTGATTGAATGGATCTTAGCAAGGTTGGTGCTTCATGTGGATGTGCAATCAAAGGTACACGAGGAGCTCGACAGGGTGGTGGGAAGGTCTAGTCAAGTGATGGAATCTGACATCAACAACTTGGAATATCTAGGTGCGGTGGTGAAAGAAGTTCTTAGGCTACACCCACCTGGCCCGCTGCTCTCGTGGGCTCGTCTAGCCATCACAGACACCACCATCGACGGCCATGATGTAGGCGCAGGGACGATGGCAATGGTGAACATGTGGGCCATCTCGCGGGACCCAGAAATCTGGAAGGACCCTCTGGAGTTTCAACCAGAAAGATTCCTGGATGGATCATTAAAAGATATGTCGGTGATGGGATCCGACTTGAGGTTGGCTCCGTTCGGGTCAGGCAGGCGAAGTTGCCCAGGGAAGAATCTTGGGATGACGACAGTGAGCTTTTGGGTGGCATCTCTGTTGCAAGAGTTTGAGTTTGGAACTTGTGAGGGGGTTGACTTATCGGAGGAATTGAAACTATCTTGTGAAATGGCGAACCCACTAAAAGTGACTTTGCGACCAAGGCGTAGACCTCATTGTGTTTGCGAGGCATGAAAATTACACCATCCAGCATATAAATAAATTTGTAAAGAAGAAGAATTGTTAGTGTGGGTTTCTAATTTTTTTTTTTTTTTGTTATATAAGATGGAGTTTGTGTTTGTAAGTTGAATTATATATATTTTGTCGATGTATATATATATATATAAGTTGGATTAAGCAATTTGTATAGATGCGTGTTTTAATTAAAATGAAAAATGTAATTAAAAGACTTGGTAATTAATTTGTGTAGATAACATGGTCATATATATGATTCAACTTATATATGTATATAAATGAAATGATGATGAGATGTATATATAACATAATTAATCCTTTGTATTGAGTTCCAGCCTCTTTGGGATTAATAATAAATTAAGATTATATAATATAAGTTTTTCACCCTAATAATTTCTCAATTCCAATGTGATATGTGCTATTTAATTTATTAGTATAAGCAATTCATCATTTCCAACACTCATCTCATCTTATTCTGATTAATATTTTAAATTTTTTCACTTAACGATACATTTCTATTTCTATTTCTAACGTCATTCCGACCAACTTGTTCAACATTTCCTTAAAAAAATTATCATAACCAAGAAAAAAACAACAATAAACTGCTCTCTATTTATTTATTTATTCGTCCAATTAAAAAAAAATTATGTCTCTTTGCTTCCATCTCTTTCTCATCTTTCTATTTCCTATCATTTTCATTGTCTATATATATATATATATATATAATTGATATAAAAAAATATATCTCTACTTATTTGTCCAACTTCCAATGTTGTGACCAAAAGGAGCATGGACTGCTACCATACAAAAACGACAATTTCTTCCCCAACCCAAGGTTGGGATGTTTGAGTACTACCATCGTATAATGGGTTAACATATTTTTAAAAGTTTCATTTTATACTTAAAATATGATATTTAAACAATTAGATATATAACATGAATACTGACGTAACGAATGATGTGACACATACATTACAATAATATTTGATGATGTGGAATTTAGTTTTAAAATAACTTTATATATGTATATATATTATAGAATGTTGATGATTTTTTATTCATTTATATATATATAATTTGAAAATATTTGTACAAACACTTGAAACGTGTGTGGGTTAAAACCCCTCACCCATCTTCTTCAATTAATTTGTTGAAAAATAAAATCATAAAAACAAAAAAGCGATGATTTTCAATTTCATTCTTGTAAACCCTAATCCTAATGGTTTTGTATTATAAAATTATCATTCTTCTAACACATACCATTAATTGGTTTGTGTACCCGTCTTTATATTTTTGTAAACTCATACTTCCCTTTTCATATATTCTCTTCTCTTCTCTTTGTTTTCATAAAATTAATCACTCATCTTCAATTAATTTGTAATTTGTTCAAGTGTTTCGTGCACAATAATATATAAACATAAACCAAACCATATAAACTATAATAAGAAGATACTTGCAACTAATTTTATATAATAATTTGCACTTCATCAAATATGTTATGTACAAGATAGTTTCTTTTTGGGGTTTTTACTCTATTTCTTCACTTCAATGTTTGATATTTAATTCACTACTTGTAATTCATCTTTGTTGCAATGTCAAATACCTCATAATGTGCATATGCATCACAAACACACATACACATACATATACATACATACATACCAATAACCGATTCACATATGTATTAATTAAATGATTCATATATGAACTAATTAAATGATTTACATATGAACCCTTGTGATTCCTAATTAACCGATTCACATTTTTACATGTGTGATTCATATATAAACATATAGTTCATATGTGTATCACTTGAATTTATATATGAACCCGTTTACAACCTATTTATAAAAGTTATGAAACTAACATTCTATCTTCCCATATCCATGCGAGGAATGATCCAATGCTTAACGGTCAGAGCCACAAATATTGACCAGATGAAAGACTATGATCGCTTCTTTATTTCTCAAACATTAACCACTTCTCAAATGAATCTCCCCCCCCCACACACACACACACACATATATATATATATATATATATATATATAATGGAACAATAAGTCGAGTTCCAGTGAGAATGAGAAGGGTAAAAATGAATCTTCACCTTTGAATGAATCATAATTGAAAAGAGTCACTAGATCAACACTAATGAGATACACTAAATCAATTTCATTCTAAAACACAATTCAAGAGTTGTTTTGGATTAAAAGTGATCAAAAATCCAAATCGATTCTTACACATCTTATCTTAACTTCTATTTTCACACGATTCTTCGTCTTGAAACAATAACCTTTTACAATAAATATACCAACATTATTTATTATAAGATGTACTTTTTATGTCAAAATAAACTTTGGAAAAAGAAAGCAGAGAATGGGTAGGGTTGGTTAAACCATCTCCAACAATCTGACAAAACTTTAATTTTGTCGGTGATTCTTTTTCAACTAACCGTCAAAAACTGGTAATTTTTGTCAGGTCTTTAAATTGGACGGTAATAATGTTGTGTAGATCTTCAACCGACAAAATCCCAGGCGCACAGATCTGGTGATCATTTACAGTATGGTTGTAGTTGAGATGTTAATAAGCTTATTATTTTTAGTGTTTTTGGTATGTTTTTTTTGCGTCAAGGTTGAAGATGCACTTAAAAGAGCTTAAGACCTTGAATTTGCAAAAGACCAATATAATTCTCAAACCAACTTCCATACTCATTTACTGTTTTTTTTGCATCTCAATTACGGCCGAGCTCATAAATTTAAGCTCTCAAGTATTTTCGATGAGTCCAAACCATATCAGCAAGACTTGGACCGTTTCTTTTCTTTTCTTTTTAATAAATATTGAAACTTCCCTTCTAGATAGTAATCTAATATGGTGATTCCACATGTTATCACAGTGTTTAAGCTTGAGTACAACAGCCACTTGCTAATTTTTGAACAGTACTAAAGCAAACAGCCTCTCTTTTTCCTTTTGAAAAAGGTAAATGCGAGGGGCCTACCGAACAATACGACTCGCATAACACGTTTCCGGACCAGCCACCTATCATCTTATGGACTGATAAGTTTTCGAATGAGTCAAATGCAATGTTATAAAGAAGAAAACACCATGATTGACAGATAAAGACTTGACATCCCAGTAATATATATATATATATATATATATATATATATATATTTAAAGTTAGCATCCATCCTTACTTAAGCTCCAACCCAATAATGTTTAAGCATCAAGACAAATATCAGATAAGAATGGAGAAACATAAAATCGCACATGTCCCTTTTCCTATTGACAAACATCCCTACCAGGTCAACTCAAATATAATCCAACAAATCCCCGAGATCCCGCCATCTACAATACTCCATTCGACCCACGCACGTTCATAACTAAATACGTGTTTCAATTCTTCAGATGTGATGTTGCGATCTCAATTCACCACCATTCATATCTAGTAGGTATACTACGTACGTGCTTTCTGGACCCACGTATGCCTTTAACCCTCCTGTCAACTCAACTACTTGTGTAAGCGTTTTCAAATGTATTTGATACCCATAAAAATATAAGGTTACTTAGCTACATGACCTCCTCACAAGTGTTCTTTCAATCCATATCAAATCATTCTGCCCAAGTTTCTTCTCTCATGAATTTTAAAAAGAAAAACATGACAGAAGGTCACACGAGGATACATACCTGGCCAGCAAAGTAACCTCCCAAAGGGTGGTCTAGTCTCAGCTTAATCTGAAATTGAGGGCATTAGACAACACACCTGTATTCATAAGATCCAAGAGAAAGAAACAATAATGCAGCAAACAGAGAATCACACATCTCCATAAAGACATTAAATTTGATCTTGTTTCCGGTACCAAGCCTAAACAACACAATAAAGACATTAAATTTGATCTTGTTTCCGGTACCAAGCCTAAACAACACAATAAAGACATTACATTTGATCTTGTTTCCCGTACCAAGCCTAAACAACACAAACCTTGTTGATAGGTACATTACTAATCAGCAAATAGTAAATAAGATAATTAATACAAAATTCAACACTACAAGCACACAACAACAGGACAGAATGTTCATCCATAAGTTTTATAGGAAATGACATAAATCACATGCATTCATTGATAGCTGATAATCGCATCTTTCTTGGCAAAGTAGTAGAGAGCATATGCTAACACCAAGATTAGTATGGGTAAAAGAAATGTCAATATGTTGCTAGATGAACTTCCAGATTCTTGGTTGTATGCAGAAGCTGTGTTAGAAGGCATCTTGCGCTTGTTTTTCTGAAGCATAGATTTGCTATCGATTTCACCAATATAGTAATCTTTCATCAAGTCTTTGGCATCTTGACTGTGGCCCACATCTTCGAAATCTTCTGTTGCATCTTTCTCTATAATATTATAATTTCAGTGTTAAAAGGGACTCAGATGCAGGCATGCAAATCATCAAGTTAAGCAGAATCTAACCGGTTGCTAATATCAGGACGTCATCGCCTCCAGGGTGATCATCCAGAAATGCGGTTACATCATACACCTAATACAAGATATATCAGGCATACAATATGTGAACAATCAAGAAACACCAACCAGGCCTGTTATGAGAAGGCAAGTTAAAGAGTTCATTTCTCAAGACATAATCGTTAATTAACAAAAGTTTGTTATAAAGAATTGTGGAGATAGGGTTACTTCAGACTTCAAATCTAAGTCCCTTCATGTTTGATGTGATTTTGGATGAGATTTCATGTGGGATTCAGACAAGTGTCGCATGGAGTATATTATTTACCTATGACATTGCACTGGTAGCAAAGACGAAGGGAGAGGTGAATGTTAAGCTAGAACAGTGGAGGGTGGCTTTGAGAACACAAGGCTTGGGCATTAGTTGGTATAATACCGAGTACCTTTGGTACAATTTCAATAGAGGGAGTAGAAGTCAACATTGGGGAGTAAACGGTATCCTAAAAGAACAGTTTCAAGTACCTAGGGTCCATGATTCAAAAGGAGGGTATTCACAATGATCACCAAGCAAATAATAACCAAGAACACATATAACAACAATCCAACGGAAAACCCGAAAGCAATTAAATGGCACAAAATTTCCCATGGTTCCACTATCGGTGTGATAGTGTGCTTCCATAGGAAAGGATAGATCACTTTATATTGCACAAATCAATGGAGGTACAAAGGTTGCTTACATGAACACTAAGAAAGCTTCAAATATGTCATCTAGATTTGCCAAAAAAAGGGAAGAATAGGATTACTAATCAAATGTTCCCTATTAGGCACTTACCTATTGGCCAAATGCACGTAAGCGACTTGCCGGTGGCATGCAAATCGTACGTAAGTCTCTCAGTTATTCCATTTTAAAACTTTTGAGACCCGCATGACTTGGCATGCGACTTCCCAAGTCACTAAAAACGTAATTTGTCCAATCTGCACGACACTTAACATGACACCATGGCCGCTTATGCAAGTCACCACTTCTTCAATGGGCAACATCAGGTGGCCTACAAATCACAAACTACATACCATAGCTGTTTCCTTATGATGGCGATTTCCATGTTGCCTTGCAAGTCATGTAAACCAAGAAGAGGTGTGTGTCACAAATTCAACAACAATCATTTGTTGACATTGGAATTTGAGAATATAATTTTTCTTGTTTGCATAAAAATGACCACTTCATCACTAAAATGAATTCCAATTGTTGAGGGAGGAATAGAGAATGACTTGGGTATTACTAAAATTTCAGGCCAGGTAAAATGGGGTATTAATCAAGTTTTCACCACCCTGCCTATATGAATGCAGAGTATTCATATAGGTGGAACCATCATCTGAACTAGGAATCCCTTGTTTAAAGAAACCATAATGTAGGTTTCAAAACAGCGTGTTCGTAAAGTAGAAAATATCAGTAATAAGAAAGATGAATGACCCACTATTTCCTAACACCAACTCACGAAAAAAGAGTCGTCGAAAAATTATGACCCAACAGAGGGATGTTATCATATTTACAAAGAATAAAGATTAATATATTTATTATCATCGTTATTTTAATCATTGTTAAGTCACACATCATATATAAAACCATTGAAGATTTATAGCTTCAACACTAACATGATTTGCTTGATTCCACAAAGGTGAACAAAAGGCTCAAGTGTTTTATAGGTACCAGATGAATAAAAGAACCAACACACTTCAACTGAAAAAAATTAACCAACATGATAAACAACCATTCAACTATACAGAAACAATAAAAGAAGAATCATAAGCATAACCTTATTCTGCCACTCCCACTATGTTCTATGTTTATAGACCATCTCCTGTTCAAAATACTCCAATTGTCCTTCGTTACTAATTTGTCTACTTTATCCAAGAGTTGACACATGTTGTTCAAATAATTAGCATAGAATCAACTTAAGATGCATCTTAAAGCTATACAGATCCATCATCTCAACTGACTCACAACTTTGTTATATCTTGAATAGTTTTGATTGCATAGCCTCGTAATTCAAAATCATGCCATTTATTTTTTGGGAGATGTGGTGCTTCTCCTCTAACGTATAAAAGGAATTAGGCATGCAGAAAGCACTAGATTCATTACAGATTTGTACCAATTTGCAATAAAGATACATCAATAGAGCCAGAACAACAGTAGATGGCAACTAGAACAAAAAGGGAAACAGAAACTAAAAACATTAAAGCATCATGGAGTTGACCTATCTCACAGTAAAGCCCATCTCTTTCCATGAATATTGCACGGATATGGAGCCTCATTTGGACTTCAAAAACTGTTTTGAATCCAATAATAAGTTTGGATGCCCTATGTGTGCGAATGCTGGACAGTGTGGAGAAGTGTAGTTCTCTATTTTTCATCAGTATCAATCATTTAGACTCCTCAAAAAGTGTTGTTAACCGTGATTCTAGGACTCAACAACACAAAAACAAAAAAAGAGCAAAGAAGAAAGAAAAAAGCTACTACCACCAACTTTGGATTTGGAAGTGTAACATTCCCAGGGGTTATTATCCAGGGCTAAGGTTTTAAAATGCGTATAATAGACATTTGATCTTTCAATCAAGTGTCAAGGGTCGAGAATCTTGATAATCCGCCATTGTGTGCCCATATCCTTTGTAATGGTAACATTGAACTCTAGTCATGTTGCTTGTGCCCAGAAATCCAAGCACCCTTTGGTTACAAAACCTTTTGCCTGCTGCTTTGCTTAGGTTACATTCCAAAACATAAATGAATGACAACTAACGGAAACTTAAACACTAATCATCAATGCAAACAATATATAGACTGACAGACTAATTAAACCAACTCCACTACTTTGAATCAATCCTTAACAAATCTAAGCAAGGTAGTAAGCTGTTACAAATATGAATGATTTCACAGAATTCGGACCAAAATCAGCAAAAGGAAGTTGTAGTAAAAAGAGATTTGACCTTTCCAGAAATAATAAGCCAGCAATCAGTTTTCAAATTGTGCTTTGAAACCTCTTGGAAAGAAAGAATTTTGGCGTCCGATGTCATTTCTTGATCTTCTGCTACCAACTAGAAACAAAGGGGAAACTTCAAATTAAAAGAAAAAGGAAGCCAGGAAGTCGATCGTTAAATCCGAATCCGATTTACATAGAAGAAAAAATGGGATTAAACGTCACAATCGAGGTAGCCAACGGACACTGCGTACCAGTGGTCAACCAATTCCTCTTATAATCAATGAGATTGCTTTATGTGCCAACATCTTTGAATTTTATATATATATTTAGGATACAACCTCATTTATTTTGCTGTCAATCAAAAAAAAAAAAAAGTTGTTTCTAAAATATTAAGGGTGTGCATAACGTTGTTATTTTTTAATAAACAAAAAACTATTAAGGAAATGCAATTTGTTAAATACTAAAACAAAAAATGAAATTCAACTTCTTTGCTTTTGAATTTTTTACAACATATCACATTTGTTTTTTTAATAAACAAAACTCGGTTTTCTTTAGATTTGGCGTTCAATGTCCAATTGACTATTGAAACATGTTTTTGAAAGCAAATGTATCAAACTCGATACTTTGTCATGACGTAAGGGCTCTTCGGTCATTTGGGCTTCATGATTGTGTTCTTATATATTCTTGAATTTTCTGTTTTTTATTTTAATTTGTTTACATATTTTTGGTTATATCAAATCCCTTCATGTGATTTGTAGAAAAAGGCTACAAGTTGTTGACTTAAAGGCAAAATAGGACAATATATGGTGGCTTCATTTTGACTTCAACATTGCTTAAAATATTTTAATTTGTAGCCCATATGATCACAACTAATTAAAGTGTATATATATATATATATATATATATATATATGTGTGTGTGTGTTTTTGAGTGAGTGAGAGAGAGAGAGAGAAAATTAAAATTATATATTGAATCAAATTAATTTTTATTTTCCATAAAGCAAAAAAGCACGGAAAAAAGTTAAAATATTTTCTCAAAAAAGATAAAAAAAAGTACATGGAAAAGTTGAGATATTTTTTCTATGACCAAGTCTACATATGTTTCATGTTTCAAGGATTTGTGTACGTTGCTCGAAAGTGATTTAAAGAATTAGTTAAGATGGCGTTTCGTCTGCTGGATCGGAAGAAATTGGAATGGTCAATTTCATTAACCAAATCATATTCATGCATCTGGTTCATTTGATGAATTTTAGTATGAAATCATAATTCTGCATCTGATGAAATTTGAGCTCCTTAAGTTTTTATAAGAAATTCAAATTCTATTTTGTTCAATCTTTTGAGAAAAATATTATACCCTTGTATTTAATTTAATCTACTCCATCCCACCATGGCGATCGTCACCACCGCCATCGCAGCTATCACTATCACCATCACTGCCACCACTGTCATCGCACAACCACTACCATTATCACCACCCTCAGACCAACACTGAAAATATGTCATCATTGAAGATTAAGTCATGAGGAGACTTAAGTTGAATCTTTGTAAAGTTGAAGGTTCAACTTATCGATTTGTCACTAAAGATGTCTTCTCTAAAATGATCTTCAAGGACAACCAACCAAGTATGGCAAGGCGCTTAGGAGCTAAAGAGCTTGTATAGATTTAGAGTCTGAAGCTGAAGACCAAGTCTAAAATTTAGTAGTTGAATAAATTTTACCTTATTTACTTCAAAGTACCCAAAATAGGATTGTCACACTGTAAAGTTACTACAAGGTCAACCCGAAAATAAACTAAAGCAAGCACGCCTATAAAGAAACATTTGATACATTATGGGCGCCCATACCATATCATCGAGATTGTGGACAAACCATCTTGCGTTGCATGATTGCCTTCCTCTATCACTTGAATTATAAATATATGTAAAGACTTTCAAGGAGAAAAGATAATGAACAAATGCTTTCACTAGAAAACATCTATCGAGTTCAAGCTTAGTGCGAACTCAAGTATTCATTCCTCCAAGATAAACTGAGTTCACTACATACTTAGAGTCTTATGTTTTGAGTGACTGAGAGATATCTTGTAATTTGTAATTGTACGAAGGTGTCTTGTTTAGACTTATTTAAGTCGCTAATTGCTTTATAATATGTGTTTTACACAAGCATTGATTATTTGTAAAAAGTTTATCAATAATAAATTCATCTTGAACTTTGAAAAAGATTTGTATTCAACTTACCCTTCTATAAATATTTGTGATATTATCAAACCTACAGAATCCAACACAACTGCTTGTACTTAATATCTTAAACACTTGCACGATAAAAAAAATGACCAAAATGCCCCCACGTGGCTATCTCATTAGGGGCACCTAACAGATGCTACTAATCGCCGTTAGGGTCAGTGATGAAACCCATAACTAAATGCCAAGTAATGAGTGTCAGGTGTAATTTTGAAAGTCGAATGACAAAAACTAGATTTCCTTAAATCACATGGACTAATTGTGTAATTTACTCTACTTTTTGAGTAAACTACATTTTTGGTCCCTCTGTTATGTTGGAATCATTTGATATCATCCCTACTATATTACATTTTCAGTTATTATGATTTTGGTTTTTTTGGACCTTAGTCCATACTTTAGATGTCAATAACTTTTGTCTATTAAGTAAAGACTCATTTACGCATAGTAACACCTTCGTGAGTCACAACTTTTCACTTATATCTCAGATCAAGATGCTTTTTTAAAAGTTGTTTGTACTTTTTAGCTCTCATTTATTGGGCTTTGACACCCTATACTTAGATTTAAAAAGAATTTCTGGCAAAAATTCGATATGACCCGTACGAAAAGTCGTGTTTTGCCATTTTTTTACCTGTAAACATTTGCAAAAACAATGATTGCAAAACAACTGACTATACAAAAGCTATGATTACTAACTAGTCTTTATAAAGACCCAAAAGCTATGATTACTAACTAGTCTTTATAAAGACGACTATTTACAAGGTATAAAACTTTC